GACCACCGCTGATGGGCAGGCGGCGTTGCGCTCACGCTTGTGCAAAAGTTGCGAATAGGCAGCATCTGCATGTCTAGCTGCGTGCACCTGCTTTCCCACGAGACACGGAGGCGCCACTACGCTGAGACTCACGTTGTATGGCTTGCTACGAAACGTACCATATACTTCTTAATGGGTTTGATATGAACTAGTTTCGAAGGAATTACCTTCAAAACCCCAAAGATAAAAGATAAAACGCACACTGAGCCTCTCTGGGAACATCCCTCTGGTCGTCTTCGGCCATTGCTAATAGGGCTTCAGTGCGTTTACGTGCCGCTACTTCATCCCAATGAAGTCGAAGAAGCCGATATATGATGAAACCAAGACTGAAAGTGAAAAAGGTTCTTTCGTGAATGGCTCAGCAAGCATGCTTCAAAATAACATTCCACCCACTTCAACTTTACGCGTTTTGTTGATTTATTCCTCTTAAACATTGAGAAAAACAATATGCTGAGTGATTTACAAAGCTCCAGACCCCAAGCGGGAGTTGAACCTGCGTCTCACCAATACCTCGGCCACGTGCTCCTCCACTGTTTTACACCATCGATGACCGCTCTGCTAACACTTCACTACACCGTCCTTTTTTTTTATTTTACACGACCCGTATCACTTTTTACAGCGTGGATCCCACTGTTACAGGGCACTCAATCCGTTTCCCCGAATTCATCGCTTGCCTGAAAACATCATCTTCTTCACGAGTCGTAGGTTATTGGTCGGGCAAATCTCCTTACTATCTCGAAGATCGCCAGGCTTGAGCGTTCCCTACGGCTGATCACCATTTGAGGTAAAGTGTTGAGGGGATCAGCCCCGCGCCGAGCATCACTAACTAATCAGCCACAGTTCCTGACACTACTGTAACTGCCGTAGAATAGATACTAGGAACTCTTTTTTATCCAATCGCTTTGGCGGTGGTATGACGTTACAGATACATACCGGATAATGCTCAGTAGTATGCAAAACTTTGAACCTCAGACGGGAATCGAATTTCAAGAATAGGCCAGCCCCGGAAAGGATGAAATGCGGGCTCGATTCCCGTACAAGGTTCAAATTTTTAATACCACTCGACATTATCGAGTAAGAAAAATGTTTATTCTCTGGATAAAATAACGGAAGATTTTACAAAAACTGCACTGAACTCCAGATAATTCCATACTTTTACGACATGACACTTACGCTGTTAACAGTATACCAACCGAGCCTAGTAGTAGCGGATCGAAGCCATCTCGTTTAAGTTTGAACGGTGCCTCCGGTAAGATGTGCTCTGGTTGTTCGTCCATGTTGAGATTCGAACAAGGAAGAAACTAAAATGAAATCCTATTCCACGATTAGTCAAAGCCTTGCAAACGAGATAAGCAACTATTTATTGAACTACAATCCACTTGAAATGAGGACTAAACCATAAAACAGTTGTGATCAACAACACGACTTATGTCAAGAAAAGGGACTCACAGAATGATGAGTTGGTGAAGTGTAGGACATACTAACAAGGCTTACAAGTAATTTCTTGTCAAACCAAAATCAGACGTCTCTTTCGCTACGGCGGCCGTGTTCGGCTAGTGGGCGGTTTGGACGGCTACGAAGGGAGGCTGGCAGGTGGTTTGATAAACCTAGATACTATATGGGCGGCCCTTCTTCACTGGTAGTGAGAACCCCAGCATAGCTTCCATTCGCCTCTCTTGCGCGATTTTCGTTCATGGTGGAGGCCTATTTCGATCCTTGAGAGCCCGAATGCGGCCTATACTGCTCTCCCATTTCCCTCTGTCGTTCATGTTGTTCCCCTTATTCACTGAACGTCCAAAACACACGAGATGGTAGTCTCAATCAGAGAACCATTCAGTTCAATCTCTTCACCTTTGCACCATGGATTCTTCATGAAATGCGTCTTCGTCCGTTTTATGCAAAGCCCAATCCTTGCTCTCACCTCGTTGACTTCAATTAGCATCTGCTTGAGTTTCCTCTACAAAAGTCTCCTCGGTGATGTTCCATCATTTAACGGCGACAAAGTCCCTTCGAAACCCAAATCTATCAAGCAAGTACCAGTTTTTCTTTGGGGATCGTCAATCTACGTTAATCGTACGCGAACCGAGAGGGCTCATTCATATGGGTTTAGCTGCAAAGCGTAGCAAAAAGGATATGATCAAACAATTGCTTAGCAGTCGGTGGAGAACATAACCTAAGCAGAAATTCAGATGTAAAGTAGCACACATGCATTCGTAGCTGCTGACACTATCTAAGAAGTTCCTTTCTCTTGGCTACTTGTATACAGTGAATAAATTTCGAGAAACCTCGAATAATTCCCTTGATTTATTCTTTTCTGTCACTACCACTGATCCTCGACAATTAATTTGACACTTTAGCGATCCGTCTCACCGTTTCTTTTCTCACTGGGCGGACCCTACTACTTCCAGCGTTCAATTCGCTGTTCGTCTTCTTGAACGGCGTAGAATACTGGCTGAGTTAGTCTCCTTGCAATTTCGAGGATAGCCGGGCTGCGTTTCATAGAACATTCGTTGTTGACTGCCGGAGAGGGTTGGAGCTCGTCTCCATGCGCGACTCGACCAGCATCACAACCACTTGGACACGGTTCTTTAATGAAGCTTATTCGAGGTTTTTACGAATCGTTATTGAGGCCGTTTCGCCGCTTTCGCTTTCATTAAAGTCGCAATGACTCAAAACGTGTCTCTACAGCAGTTGTTCTTCGTACGATATTGGTCATCGTAATGGAGACAGACACTGAGGCAGCTCCACTAGAGCGGATCACTGCTCCAATCAGCAATAATACTATAAATTCTTAAGAATGTTCAAAGCCTTACCCGAGGTTGGTACGCCAGGGCCATACACGCGTGTTTCGGAGGTCTCGCTCCCCTCGTCAGTGGCCCACGCCCCACATTACCGGTATCCAGGGCTATACACGCGTGTTTCAGAGGTCTCGCTCCCCTCGTCAATGGCCCACGCCCCACATTACCGGTACGCCAGGGCTATACACGCGTGTTCCAGAGGTCTCGTTCCCCTCGTCCGTGGCCCACGCCCCACATTACCAACTTCGGGTAAGGCTTTGAACATTCTTAAAAATTTATATTGAATGCTTACTGCGAGGTTTTGAACACAGTCGATGCCATGGAGTGATATTACTATTACGTTTATTATAAAAGGATAAAGCTCTCGGCGCCGATCAATCCCTGAGGGACGTGTCGTGGCATTCACCTTCGTTCCAACTCTGTTCGAGGTGACTGAAAGCACTTACAATCTCGCGGTGGCGTCCCGTTGTGTCGAGTCAATGCTGTTTATCCTCCTAGACAAATCTGGAACCATTTCGCCGACCGCGGAGGGATGGATGGCTTTGTGAGATCGAACCATCGACCCGGTGTGTGGCGCAGAGCACACTTGACCACTGCGCCACGTGCACTCGTTTTCGCTCCGTTTCCCGCAAAACGAAACTCTTCCCTCAGACTACTAGTAGTCGTTTGATAGCTAAATCTAAATCAATCTAGACATAACAAAACGCTACATAAATTCTTAGGGTTTCATTGGAAGGAACTAAATTGTCGAAAAAAAATGAGAGCTCACGAGTTGATCGAAATAAGAGAGTAATCAATAAAATGAAAAAGATAGAACAAAATAGGAAATAAATAAATGAAAAAATCGAAGGAAGACAAGGACCGTCGATCGATAAGTCGTCATCGATCGATCGATTGGCGAGAGGCGATCGTGGCCAGGCGGTTAGATGTGCAGGATGGCGGCGGGCGGTCCTGGCTCGGTCGGCGGCGCGCGTCGCGTCGGCGGTGCTGACGTGGTGAGACATCACCCGCCCGGGAGACTTTCCCCCACCTACAATTCGGCTTTACCTCATCTCCTTCGCAGTCCGCGTTGTTCGCCTCATTTCCTACTCGACGCTCCTTATTTCCTGGAATTCATGTAACTCTCACGGATTTGCGCCTGTCAGGAGCGCGTCTGGAGCAGCGGTTAGCGTTGCTCAACTCTGCGCACAAGGTGATGGTTCGATCTCGCGCTCAGCTCATAAAGCTTTCCATCTTCTCGGATTTTATCCCTTGATCGTTTGAGCTTTTTCTATCCGCGACGAGGCTTGTGTCCGTCGAGTTTGCTAGCCGACTGTCGAGTTTCGGCTAGACGAGGAAAATTCTTAAGATTAATGTCGGTGTTTATAGATCGGTCTTTTTAATGCTTAGCAATAGTTTTAGAGTTAGGTAGCCGACTAAGAGCTCATATGGCGCAACGATTAGCGATGCTCTTCGCCTCGCACGAGCTCAATGGTTCGATCCCGCCCCGTGCTCATCAAACCTTCCATTCCTTCGGAATTGGAGTGTGGCACGTCCCTCAGGGTCTGATCAACGTCGCGACCTTATCTCTTAATCGTTTTAAGCCTTGTCTAGTCGCCGCGAGGCTTGCGTCGGTTATTGTCATCTGACGGTTGACTGACCGACCGTCGAGTCTCGGCTAAACAAGTGAAATCCTTGAGGTTGATATCGGTGTTTATAGAAAATCGGTCTTTTTAATGCTCAAAAGTAATTTCAGAGTTGTTAGGTAACCGGCTAAGAGCTGATATGGCGCAGTGGTAGGAGGTCTCCGCGTCGTACACTTGGTCGATAGTTCGTTCTCGCGCTCATGGCTCAAAAATCCGCTTTATTTAATGGCTTTTTTTCGCGTTTATATGGTGCTACAAATATATATTCAATAATGTGAGTGATGTGCAAATTTTTAAGGTCGAACGGGTTTGAACCCACATTTCACCTTTTCGTGAACGCGTGCTAACCACTGCGCTGCCGGTGCTCATGTTCTGCCATCACCCTTCGACAAAAATGAATTGTAGTTGATTATTAACATCTCCAAAATCTGTAAGTATTAGTTCACTGCCGTTATGGGCTTTTGCCAGGCCAAACCCTTAGAGGTTATTGCTGGCATATCGATACAGATGCATCGAAGATAGAGTGGTGGCAGAACTAGCGGCGCTAGTGCAGTGGTTAGCATGCGCCCCTGAAAGGGTTAGATGCAGGTTCGAATCCTGCTCGACGGTGAGAGTTTTTCATATCACTCCACTCAATCACAGAATTCCTTTTTATTCAATCCCTTCTAGCGATTGTCTGATGCTATATGTAAACACTCGAACCCGCATTTCACCCTTTGCAGGAGCGCGTGCTCGAACCGTTGCATTACAGAAGGAGTTGTGTCAGGAAAGGAGTCGGCAGTGTAACAGTTCGAGCACGCGTTTTCGGACAGAGTGAAGTGTGTGTTCGAGTCCCAGCCGACGCAAAAGTTTTGCACATCACTCTGCATCAATGAGTGTATTGGAAACATATTTGGGTTCTTCCTGACTGTAAGGAAACGAATAAAAACCGACCTCAATCGGTGGAGAGGAGAAAATAGGAGTTTCAGTAATCATTCGAAAGCTGAGGCCTCAGGCTACGGCCTCACTTCGCCATTATCGAAAGACTTCTCGACGTTCTTACAGGAGGAGATTTTTTACGTTGTAGACGCGCATATTTCTTGCCGGACAGAAGTCTTTTTTTGAGCTATTAGTGACTATTCGATAGCGTAATCATTCCTGATTCGAACGCTGCGCTTATATCCTGTAAAGAGCGTTTCTCTGAAGCGCAGCAGGTAAATTAAGTCGAATTACCATCTGCGACCAAGGTGGACTTTGGCCAATACACGTGCTGCTGGCAAGCAGATGATAAACCTTGCACCGGTCTTACGACATCGCGCCAGCGCACGTGGGTGCCTCAGCCAGCAGCACGTGAATTGGATAAAGACCACCTTGGTCGCAGAAGGGAATTCAACTTAGTTTACCTTTTGCGCTTCAGAGAACCGACCTTTACAGGATATAAGCGCCGCGTTGGAACCAGAAATGATTACGCTATCGAATGATTACTAGTAGTTAAAAAAAGAGCTCTGACCAGCGAATTATGCGCGTCTGAGATATAGTTTTGTGTGAATTTCACAGCGTTCAAAAGTGTGACCTGAAAAAGCGGCCATATGGGGGTCTAGCTAGAATTCTGAGCTTTCGAATGATTGCTAACATTCTTATGGAAACTCCAGCGAATGAGGTAGGTTTTTCATTTGTTCCCTTATAATCAGAAAAAACCTGTATTTGTAATTTCAGGTGGTGACGTAAGACGTAACTGCCCAGATTAGCACTGTTTCGTTTAATAAAGCCCTGCAAAACTGCTGGAGAAACGTTTGCGCTGTCTGTACCCTGTCTTGATGTCGTTCCTCATCGTTTCTCGTTCTCTTTTTCCTCTCGGATGAATCCTTGCTTCCTCATGATTACAATTTACCTTCACAAATCGATAAGTCATGAGAATCAAGCCTATTTGACCGGTGCGAGCTCGTCGAGGATGTCTTCTGATGGCTTACCTCGGGTCTCGGCTAAATGTCTATAATTAAGGCCTACATACTCTAACCCGGTCGGAACGGCAGTTGATCGATCACGCAGCGCGATTTGTAAAAGGTGCACGATTTCCGTCACTTAATCTGAGTTTTCCTCGGCTTTTCATAGAAAATCACAAGCTTTTTTGTGTTTCTTTGTTGCTCCATGATTTTCTGTACATGTTATGTGCTTTAATCCATATTTAACTCTTCTGTGCGAAGAAATCTTCGAGAGTGAATAGTGATCTTCTTCTTGCTCTCACAACGCTATATGAAGACTTTTTCAGAAATTAAAACCAAGTTCAGAATCAACGGGATTTGCGCTATCAAATCGTTACCAAACTTCTGTTGAAAAGCTATTCACAAATCCTAGCCGATCAAAATACTTATTGAGGGTGAAACGTAATCCCATCTTCGCTGCGAAGGCGCTGGGAGAAAGCCTTTTCCAAAGTGATCCATGGTGTTGAAAACCACCGAGATCTAAGCTTCCGATTGCTCACTAAAAGTTTAAGGAAGAAGTTCTATACAGCAAAAAGGCTGTAATTAATCGTATACTCAGATAGGTACACGCCGTCCCGCAAGGGTTAATTGTTAATACCGAGGTTTATAGCCTTTTAAAGGCTTAACCGTGCTATCAGAGTTGTCAAGTAATTAGTTAGATTGCCTTTTTTAATTCAGTCAAACCAAAAAAAGCTTCGAGAAAGCGAGTGTTTTGTGACTACTCTATTACTTGCGGTAAGGCTGCTATTGATCCATTTCTTCTAATTGTTGATTATATGTTGATCTAATCTATTCCAAGATGTTATAGAGCTTAGGAGCTGTATAAATCCCTATGCAGTTTTTCTTGTTGGAGGAAGGATGGGTGGAGGTGGAGCTGAACTCGCGTTCCATCCTTTTAGGGACCGCGTGCTAGCCACTGCGCTGCCGAGGCTCCTATTTTGCCATCACTCGTTTTTTTCTCAATTTATCGTATCGCGAAGTTGTTGCGAACTTTTACACTCGCCCAACATCCGTGAAAGTCTTTATTTTAATTACAGGATGGGTAACATTTTCGCGAATCTCTTCAAAGGCCTCTTTGGTAAGAAAGAGATGAGAATTCTCATGGTAGGATTGGATGCGGCCGGTAAAACGACGATTCTCTACAAGTTAAAGCTGGGCGAAATTGTTACTACGATTCCTACAATTGGTAAGTTTTTTTGAGAAACTCGGTAGTCTGTCGTGTGCCATCATAACCTTTCTCACTAGTCTAACATGGATTTGTAGGTTTCAACGTCGAGACAGTCGAGTACAAGAACATATCGTTTACGGTGTGGGACGTCGGAGGTCAGGATAAGATTCGACCCTTGTGGAGGCACTATTTCCAGAACACTCAGGGTGCGTTTGAACCTTCCTTCCCCACTTTTTTCTGCTTTCTTACTCTACAATCCAGAAGAACATGGTTTTCGTTCCTAAGGAAAGGTAGTGGTTGAAAAGAATCTCATGGAGTGACCTTTTTTCACTGCATTTGCGGTCAGGTTTACCTGAAAGAGTGCCAGCACATCCTTGGCCAAGGTGGTGTGGAGTAGCTTCTGCCCGTGATCTGGGTGGAACGCCGGTTCAATTTCCGCTTGGGGTTGAATATTTTGCAATATCACTCAGAGCCCTTGGATATACAGTTGGGCGAACCTAACACTGATGGAACACAATAAAAATAAAACAGTCTGGAGAATTTTTCTATTTTCTACCATAGTTTCTCCGCTTTCTGGATACTCAATGTACACAGATACTTCATCTAACCATTGACGAACTACCTTAATGCGATTACGCATCGATCTGAGTGCATTTGGGGTAATTAAGATTCATTTGCTGTTTTTTACTTAGTTTAGTTATAAGTTTCTTATAAGTAGGTTAGCAAGTTCTCTGATTCACAAGGGCCGACAGCTAAGGTCTAATGTGGTGACCACCTAAGGATACCCCGGTTAGGTTCACCTCAGGACTTCAAAAAACAAAGCCGTTAAACCAACGCATTTTCATAAACTGGGGTCCTCACAATTCATGAAGGCGAACCCTTCAAGCATGAGGAGGGCGAAAGCGCCGAAAACGTTGGCCATCGATTCTGAAGAAGTTACCAACCTCTCTCAAGCTTTAGTTGAAAAGAACAGTTTGTGAGGTATTTTTCCTTCTGATTTCGAGGTTTAATAAATGTCGCTCTTTTGATCTGGCTCTCGTTGAGAAGAGTTAGTGTTCTTTGTTGTCGTCGATCCTGTATGAATAATAATAGATTGTAATTACAGGGCTTATTTTTGTCGTTGATTCTAATGATCGTGAACGTGTCGGTGAAGCTCGAGAAGAACTGATGCGTATGCTGGCTGAGGATGAACTTAGAGATGCAGTCCTACTTGTCTTTGCTAACAAACAGGTGAGATGCGTTGCCCTGTACGGCGGTTTCAGTTTGCTTGGATTTGTAAGAATTGAATAACATCATGGGTTATCCAAGGATAATGATATGCTAAGCTTTGGTCCTCGGCCGGAATTTGAACCCCGTGTTTCGATTTAAACTAGGTTGCCTGCTAACACTGCACTGTTGAAACCACCGCTTTGCCACCACTTTTTTTTCATGTAAGCTATGGAAGCTGTATTCAAACAACCTAAGAAAGTGGTAGTAGAAGACTTGGTGGTGTAGTGGTAGCACGCGTTCTTGTTCAGGTGGAAACATGCGGTTCAACTCCCAGCTGAGTTCGTGTTTTTTTGATACCACTCAGAATCTTTGGATATACATAACATCAGGGTGTACACTAACAAAACACTGCAAGGGTGTGGTAGTATAGTTTTTCAGCGTTTGAACTTTGCAGGATCTCCCAAATGCAATGAATGCAGCTGAAGTAACGGATAAGCTAGGACTACATACACTAAGAAACAGGTCATGGTACATCCAGGTAAACGTTAAATCTCATAGTAATCTAAGGCGTATGCGTCCCACAAAGTCAGTGGTCTGGGGTTTTAGGCGTGAATAATGGAACTACTTAAGTTATATTACAAACTACCCTTTAAAAAACCTGCAGGAATTTAGTACATCTTATTTTGATAGTTGCTGTTTCACCGGCTTTGCCCTCTACAGGGTCTCTCATGTACTTCTATATGGGAGATCACCAGTGTGTTTTCACATACTCTTGAAACACTGAAAAGAAAATACTTTGTGGCAACACAGTGGTGACCTCCCAGGTATAAGCAGTTGAATGGCTTTGTGGAACGCGAAGTCTCTGGAACGTCAGCCATCGATTTTGAAGAAGGTATGCTGACGTCATGCAGGCATTTACAAAGGATAATTTGTGATATGTTTTTGAGTTCTGGTGAAGTGAGAGTTGTTCTCTTATTCTATTGCTATCGAAGTTGTACATTTCAACTGCGCTTAGGCGATACGATCAGATTACTTTGTCAAATTGCCTACATAGAATGTTTTTTTCATAGGCGACTTGTGCGACATCGGGTGATGGTCTATACGAAGGTCTTGACTGGTTGAGCAATCAGCTGAAGAACAGAGGATAAAGACAAAGTCACGTCTTAGAAATTAACTTTATTCGCTTCCCTGTAGGTGTGCTACGTCTTTCGTTTAGCGTGTATCCTATCTTGATCGAGTCTCTCTCTGTACTCGTGTTGAAGTATTCGTTA